TCACGTGATGTTAACAATAGACAAGTATATTATATATAGCCAATATATTTCTGTAAGGTGGCATAGGCCTATACTTATAACACTGTAGACCTCTGAGTGGTTTAGACTTAGAGCTATACCACAAATTGCATGTATGAAAGAAAACAGAATTAATTTAAAGATGTTTTAAACAAGACTTCACACACACAAAAACAGCACGATATCAAAATGGTACAGCACTACGGTAAATGGTACAGCACACCATTAGATGGTTCAGCACAGCGGTAGATGGTACAGCACAACGGTATAGATGGTACAGCACAATGGTAGATAGTACAGCACAACGGAAGATGGTACAGCACAATGGTTTATAATTATATTTTTAATGTATTGTAATTGTAACTACAATGTAAGCATAAAAGATGCCCAAGACGTATGATACTTGTGATGACGATTAATTAAAACTACGATAGAAAAGAGACTTACTTTCTGTGAAGTGGTAAACTTTCCGTGTCGCGGAGGGCAACTCATAACAAACATAGATGATGGAGATTTTGCCCTTAATCTGGCTATTGATGTCCAGCCAGCTGTGTACTAGGAGCTTAACATCAGGTCTATTTAAACATTAGTTCTAAAAATCCGAGAGGGGGTGGGTGGGGAGTTGGCCCCGATCCAGGACCAATAAAAAAAAGAGAAAAAGATGTCGGCCTAAGTAAGAGCCTATATTGAAAGAATACATTCAACGCAGACATTTAACTATCATTAACAACATTAATATATGTTTATGAATAATAAATTATCAAAAAATGAAAGCAACTGGTAATTTAATCAAAATCTTGGCATCTAGTTTCTTTACTCAGCACAGTCCGTCAGGGGCCTTTCAGCACAGTCCGTCAGGGGCCTTTCAGCACAGTCCGTCAGGGGCCTTTCAGCACAGTCCGTCAGGGGCCTTTTAGCACAGCCCGTCAGGGGCCTTTTAGCACAGTCCGTCAGGGGCCTTGTAGCACAGTCCGTCAGGGGCCTTTTAGCACAG